GACATCCTGGGCTCCTACCTTCTCTCTTCCAAAACCTTGAAGGCTTACACTCTCTCGAGGGTGCCTCCCTGAATCCTCCAATGCTGTCACAATGAAGTGTGGCTCTAATCACAGAAATGGTTTAAATTTCTGTTGCACAAGTTGGTTGATGATTGGGACCATTTTTTCTCCATGATTTTTTTTCAGTGAGTAGCAGGACAATGCCAATGTTGGACCTGATCAGTTTGTAAATAAATGGAATGACACTCTCAAATTTGACTACTTTAGTTACAGTGGGACCACCAAAGACTCAATCAGAAATGCCAAACTAGCGTTGTTCCCTGTGAGGTTTCACTGGATTATAAGACCATGTGGTTTTTCTATTCAAAAGCAATATGCCCTCCCATAGCTCTCCTAGACTAAAAATAGTTCCACTCCCCATTTCTCAATTTATTTCAATGCTTTCTTTCTACTGTAGAGCCATCTCTTCTACTTCTATTTTAGCTCCTGACACTAGGAGTTATGCAAAATCACTTTACACAGCATATACTAGTAGATATACCTTTCTACATATATAAGAGCATCTTCACAGGGAAGGTAAGAGGTAGAAAGCCACTGTTGCAAAATAAATTTCTGGGTTTATTCTAGTGTCAAGTGTGTTAATATATAATAATATTACTTTGTTCTTAAAAATAAAACTTTATTGAAGAATTATATAATTTTAATATTTTAAGGACAGCTTAAGGTACATTTGATTAATCAATTAACACAGTGTCTACTATATAAGGAAAATCAGAGAGCATTACTCAGAGCATCTAAATCCACAAACCCACCCAAGGAAGTGATATATTTTACGATTTAATGTTATTGAACTTTTAAAAAGATAAAACTCTAAATTAAAAATTGAACTGGACATTATTTTCTTAGGGAGAAAAGTCTCTCACCCACCACATGCCCACACACATGATAGGCCTTGTAAATGAGCCCCTGCAATTTGAGAAAGTCTCTTCTAAAATTGGTAACTAACAAATAAGATGGCTTACTGATATTTTCTTTTTCGTTTATGTACTTTGAAGAAACCCCAACTGCTTGCTTCTCATGAAAGTCGTGCAGACGCAAGCTGTATACACTTCCTCTATTTTCCTTGTACAGAAACATATTCAATGAAGTGATAGTGACTGGTTTAAAGTCAAAATAGGTCTGGGACGTCCATCTTTGTGGTTTAAAGGGAATGAAAGTATACCCTTATGACTTAAAGTGTGATAATTCCATAGCAATAATATTTTAGGACGCAACTTAAAATTTGGAACTATGATAGAGTAATACAAAACAAAAAACATGCGAGCACCATAGAAATCCAAGAAAAATAAGTCAACATGGTTTGGCATGGGTGTCCAACTCAATCACAACACAATCTAAGCACCTCCCAGGGAGCATGTAACAACCTTCTGCTGGAACACCAGTACCTTTTGACAGGTGAAAAGCAAGATGTTAAAGGTAAGAGTTAGCCACAAACAATGGGAAAAGGTCATCTGGGCACCTCAACGAAGCATCACTAGCTTTGGGACCTGAATTTCAAAAGGGACAAGTTTAACACTAACTTGTAGCCTGAACCTCTTACAATTTTTATTTGCAGATATTCGTAGACCCTTAGAGCTAAGTGAGACCTTAAAGATCACTTTTTAATTTGGAAAAATGCAGTGAAATGTCATTACCAAGATCATAAAGAAAACCCATGTTTTTCTACCACACAGCTTGCTAAAATGAGAAAAAGCCCAATTCCAGGTACTAAGTCATTTCTCCAAAGGAAAAGCAACAAAATGCTCAGATTACAGGTATTAACTATTACCTGTGCATGAATATTTTTAGTCTCATGAATTAGTCAAAAGCAGCTTTGAATTGGTCTCAATCAGCAGCCTTTATAAAAATTACGTTATCGAATTAGCTCTGCACACTCCCTTTCCACTGTCATTGGGCACGAACATAAAATTAAATATACAAAGCTTGGGCAGAGGCAGTTTTGTGAATATCAATCAATGGAACTATTCAAAATAATAACCTGAAAAGGACTTGACGTCCTCTAGTGGTGAAATGGAAACTTATTTCCAAGACAATTATTTTTTTCAGTTCTCACTTATTACCTCTGGCGATTGAAAAATATATGTGAAAGAACTGTTCATCCTCAAGAAAAAAAAATTCACCACAAGGCAAGTTATTTGACTACCTTTGAGGAGGAGATAAATATATGCTGAAGGACATATGGTTTTTAAAATGTTAGATTTATATAGTACCTTTCAATATTCTTAACAAATATCTTGTCTTACAGGCAGTATAACACTAATGTTCAACCCATCTTTTTTACACACACATACATATGTATGTAATTATGAACACATTATGGGTGTTATTTTAATAATTATCTGAGATGCTAATATAAATTGCTCTGCAATTAAACCAGTCTTTGCACAGGGACACTAAAACTAAGACATTTAGGAATGGACTTTACTTGACAAGAACTAGATCTAAAAAGGGAATAAAATAGATCCTTCAACAAATGTTGCCTCCCTGGAAAAAAACCACCTCTCTACAAACTTGTGATTGTTTAAAAAAAGAAAAAAGACTTGCAGCATTTGGATGTGTATGTGAAATATGTCCATAAGAATAAAGTACTACATTGAAGTCCTATGTGTACAGGTCACATGTTTTAAATATATGGAAAACTTAAGTTGTTAAAATCCAGGCAATCTGCACTTATTTGATCAAAATATTGCTATCTGGATTTTAAAAAATATATTTTCTCCTTTGCTCTTTTTTTGGCCCCTGCTCACACAGGTGCTTCTGAACACTAAAAACATTAATAGTAATCAAGGGCTAGGGGGAAAAAAAAACACCACAGAAAGATGTGGGCCAGAAATAAGTTTTAGGTAAATTATAAAGAACAGTTATTCAAAAGGCCAAGTAAAAACTGTCCCTTGGAACTTGAAGTGTCTAGGCAAAGATATGAAACAACTGTTTTCTGTGAAGAAGATGGCAGCCAATTAAATTCCCATTTTCATAAAAGAAACTATTTCACTGACAGCCACATGGTTGATCTGTATGTCAATTGTTAGAAACCTTGGTTCATTAGTTAACCTGCCCAGGCACTGAATAGGCTAGTTTGCAATTCACTCATATATGAACAAGTTGTTCATGGGCAGGTTCTAAAAAGTATTTTGCTTTTTGTTTGTTTAGCACAAATTGGCGTGTATTCACTACCTTGAACAACTTTGTTTCAGAAGCACCATTTGCATTCTCAGTGAGGACGCTGCCCTCCTGTTGCCCTCACTTGGGTGAGTCTAACCCGGGGCACCCAGTTCATCAAGTTCTCTAAAGCAATTACAAAAGCATCTCCCTTAGCCACCCTTTCCCCACCCCAAGCCAAAATAATGATCTACAAATCTTTCAAACCACTCTCCTGGAAATAGCATGACTTCAACGTAAACAAGTTCAAGACACCTTGTCGGACTAAACCGCGGGTATTTTGGCTGGAGGGGTGAAGTCATTAGACTTTAGGTGTCCCAACTCTTCCAAGCAGAGCAGATACTATTATAGCTTTTCTGGACCTTTCACATTAAAATAAGCACGCCATTTAAATCAATAATACCTTTTGGTAGGGTGGGGTGCGGGGGGGGGTGAGTCTTACATTTAGGAAACAGTTGTTTCCGATTATGTATGTATGTAAAGCAGCAAATGCGTTGCAATCTGAATTTCTTTTAAAAATAAGAAACTGCCTCACCGCCCCCCGCCTTTCAAGTGCAGGAAGGTACCAGAGTTTACCGGCCAAGAACAGAATAAAAGAAGAGGGGACTAGGAGAGAGGGGCGGGTTTGCAAGACAGTGTTTCCAAAACAACCTATCAGGAGCGCAAAAATCGTCCACCTATAGGATGTGGGGTGCGGGGGAGACGCGAGCGCCGTCCCCGAGTGTGCTGCGGAGGCTGTGGGGGTTGGGGGCGGTCCCCAACACAGAGCCCTCGGGGCTGAACCACCCTTCTCACCCAGGGTTGGTGTACGGACTTGGAACACGAGCTCAGAGGACCCTTTCAAGTCCCGTCTGAGCACGTCGAGCCCCCACTCGCTGGTCCCCACCATCCAGCAACCAGCCCCTGCCCTCCTGCGCCCGCGACCTCAGTCTTTCTGGGACGCGGGTCGGAACTGCGGACCCCAGGGCGGGGGACGGGCACGGCTCACCGCATGTCCCCCGCGCCCTTCAGCACCACCATCGTCCTCAAAGCACACAGCCCCGAGGAGCTGAGTGTGACCCCGGCACGGGGGAGAGGGGGGGAGGGGTGCCCAGGAACGGAGAATCCTGCCCCTCGCACCTGGCCCAGGACTTTCCGGCTGGTTGTTTGGTTTGGGGTATACGATTTCCCCATTCAACTCGGCAGGTGGGAGGGGAGCAGCCACCGTTTCTCCATTTCCTCCTCCCGCCCGCGCTCCCTGGCGCGTTTCCACCTGTTGTGGGAAAGTCGCGGTGAAGCGCCAAAGGGCGACCGGA